ATATACCAGTGCGTCACCTCTGCTTCGCAGAGGCTCGCACTGGCCCTACTTTATCTATGCCTTACTCATTCCCGCATAATAATTACATCGAAACTCACCGCGCTGTGTAGGCTTTTACGAATGATTCGTAAACAACTACTCATTTCTAGAGGTTTTCTTGTGAGATCGGTATTTTCGCGTGGATGAAATCTTTCTCAGAAGAACAGATGCAAAATTGAATAGGTTTCTGGAATTTTTATGGCTGCATAGTCGCCATAAGAACAACAAACATCGTGGGCTACATCTCTGTGCAAAAATTTCTTCAAATGATCAGGTAGAATCTTGAAAAATTGACCGTTTACACAGCCAATGCTTTTTGGCGCTGTTTAGTAATTTAGTAGACTTTTCATCACTTTTTTAGGCTAACGGCCATGGCTTGCACATTAATTTGCCGAATATATGAACGGAACTATGTGATGGGTTCATGTGCCCTTTATAAGCGTCTTTGTCATATGCACTTATTGCTTGGAAACTTGCTACAGTTGATATTAATGCAAAAACAGCAGATGGTGTTCGTAAGGTAGAAATCTATCAACTTTCGAGCATATATTCATCAAATATTCATCAAAGCTCATCACTACCTTTTGTCCCATACGACGTGAAATCTTCTGTATCAGGCAAAATACTGTTTGCCAAGGCTTTCAAACAAATCTTCACCGCCATTCGACTGCTAATATTTAGACTTGCTTGATCTAGCCTTCTGACATGACTTCTCTCATTTACTTTCTTTATGGAAAATAAAACTTAGCAGAATGTAAGTGCTCGTGGATTGACGCAGCATGTACACGGCTCGCAACATCTCGTTCGCTGCAATCACTGAGGTGACTTGCTGAGAGGAAGAGAGAAGCAAAGCTACGGTTACGTTGCTTCAGCTAAATACACCACATGCACTTGTGTTACCAATGCATCTTGCTTCCCTCCCTTTGAAAATGAAACTCACCGTGTAATGCCGCGCATCACAAATGAATTACTACGAACTACACATTTCGAATGCCCTAACATAAGAAATCGGTGATGTTGGGCGAAAAAAATTTTGCAGCTCAAGATTAAATACTTTTTTAGAATAGTTTCTGGTTTGCTGGTGATGTAACGATTGCCACAATGACAACGACGATTCCGTACTGCATTTCTGAGCAAATATCTTCTCAGTTCCTTCAGTAGAACGTTCAAAAATCGAGGATTCACTCAAAATTCACATTTTGGCGCCGCCTCCGAGTCAGAATGAATTTTTTTGAGAATTTTTGTATTGAAACGCTCAGCTTACGGATGTGCATGTAGCATAAATCCAAAATTCGCAAGAGACTGTGATACAGGCCCAATTCCACGGGCCAAAAGCCATGTGGATCCGCTTGGCGGGCAATTTTTGAAGGATCCATTCATCGAATCCGCTCGTGCTTTTGTGCATTGGGTTTTTGAGCTGGTAGCATGCTTCATGCAAAATTTGGGCTCAAAAGGTTGGCTGGAACCTGCTCTACGAATTTCGTAACAGACACACTCACACACACACACACACACACACACACACACACACACACACACACACACACACACACACACACACACACACACACACACACACACACACACACACACACACACACACACACACACACACACACACACACACACACACACACACACACACACACACACACACACACACACACACACACACACACACACACACACACACACACACACACACACAAAAACACGTAAACACCCTTAGCCCGTTATTATAAGTTATGATATTCGTAAAGTTTGAGCGACGGGTTTGAGAGTTGGCACAGGAAGTAATAGAGCATGCTGATCACGTACAATATTAGTTTTTGAAATTATTCATTACTTTTATCGATTTTATCGTTTTTGCAAAGTACAGGGCTGGGAGTTGGCACAGGGGATAATCGAGCATGTTGATTACGAATACAATATTAGTTTTTGAAATTGCCCATTACTTTTATCGATTTTTTTGTGTTGAGGTAACGAGATATACAGGGTGTCCCAAAGTAAGAACACACTTTTCACTTTTTGTTATCTCTCTTCCCAATGTGTCTTTTTCTGCCATTTAAGTACCATTCTGTAGAGGGGGCTTGAACTTAGAATTATATTATCGAGCGAATCATCGTTCGCTCTTCATAGCTGTAGGATTACTGTAAGAACTTCGACACCGATTTTAGGCCGTTGGAAGCCATATTCTGCCTCGGAACAAAAACTCTTATACTGTGGTAATGGAAGCCGCTAATTTCGACTGTGAAACTTACACTTAACGTGATGCTTTCTTCCAATGTTATCCCAGGTAAACCGTAATAACCGAACTCCCTGTATTTGTCAGAAATGTGATTACACCGTCAAAAAAGCTGAAAGCACTCGTAAAAAATGTGTGGAGGAATATGCGTGCGCGGAAACCCTAGTACATAATAGTTCAAACCTTTGAAAAAAAATTTTGTTAGATGGCACATTTCACAATGGATTCACATGCTGGAAGTTTTTATCGTAATCCTACAGTAACAAAGAGCGGTCGGTGATTCGATCGATACTGTAAACTTAAGTTGAAGCCTCCTCACAGTGCGTAACTTTGCCTGCACTTCTCGCGCATCTATCAGACAACTTGCCGCTTGCTTTTATAGGTCAAATTTACTGGGAACTATGCCATCGAATGGTGCATATCTCAGACTTTAGTTTACAAAATCGCCCAGTTACGAGCCTACGAAAACACGTCCTCAGGAATTTTGCACAAATGCAATGATTGCGTACTTCTCGAACTTCAGGTGGTTGTATAACACGCTGATGGGTGCGGGGAAGTTTGGGTCAACCCACTCAAAGTGGAAGTGAATTTTCAAAAATACTGGAATCGAAATATCAAGGACACGATGTACAGCGAAGGAATTCGCCTTGATGAGCTGAGCACACTGCTTTTCTCTTATTCAATATTCACTCCAAAGGAAGTTACGGCGACTAGATTTGGAAACGCATGATTTTTTCAGAACCCACCAACGCTTCTATCTCTTTTGGAAAGACGTTTGCGGCTACTTTGTAGCGCATTACTATATACAAGAACAGCACTATGGAAAAATGCTTACCTGTATTTTTATGTTGGATAAGCGCTGCGTTACATCCTTGCGAAAGGACCTTAGCAGAAGAATTGAGAAAACTAGAAACGGGGTTTAGAGGACATGATGTGCAAAAAAGTCGCCTTGACGAGCTGAACACAATGTTTCGATTCTAAATATTTTTATTTCGAAAGAAGTTATGGCGCTGATTAATTTGCGATATTCCAGGAACTTCGCGAAATTTCCGGAATTTTGCGAAATTCCCCGGACATGTCGCAAAATTCTGAGAATGTCGCGGACTTTCGCAGAAAGTCCGCGACATTCTCAAAAATTTTGCACATTTTTGGGTTGTAGGTCAGAAAGTCCTTGTACTGTAGATTTCAGTTTTCCGCAGTGTTCCAGATTTTTTGGCGATCTAATGTAAAGTAATCAAAGCTTACATGGACTTTTCCATTCTCTGCAGTCAGTGTAATCTAGTGCTCTGCAAAAAAAAGCAGTTGAAAGCGAAAAACTGATACTTTTCAATAAAATTAAAAAAGCACATCCGTTTAGATGGAGCAAAGTCGCATTTTTTCGAAACTTGAACGAAAAGACTTTCAGGACAAATAATACTGGCTAAACAAACAACAATATGGTCTAACATTTATCAAAATTAGAGCATCCAATGAGCCCTCTTTCTTAAGAAATATGTGCAGGGCTTATCAAACGTAGTGTCGCTTGCACAGCATCTTTACTTCCGCGCTGGACTCTGCATCTCTTCCGCGAAAATGCTCTCTGATCGCTTTCCTAGGGCGAGCGGGGAAAGGAGGAGTCTTAATCGATTGGAAGTGATTAGAGAGCATGTTCGCGGAAGAGATGCAGGTCCAGCGAGGGAGTGGAGATGTTGATGAAAGCGACACTGCGTTTGATAAGCCTTGCAGTTGTTCTTCAAGTTTCACTATTTTCCGATCACGCTAACAAAAAATTGGATCTTACAATAATATGACAGGAAGAAGTTAGCAGTTGTTGATAAAAGTTATTTTGTTCTTCATTTTCGGACTTGGATAATTAAAAGGCACCTTCTAAAAATTCTCGACTTACATATTTTTGTCGCTTTTAGGCCTTCTGAAGGCACCCTGATTTCAAATATGGAGTCGAGAACCGCGTAAGCCCCAAAAATCCCCGTTTTAGAGAACCCGCTACAACAAGCGAGAGCCTGCAAAGTGGGCGGGGCGATCACTTGGGTGGAGTGATCAGCTCCGGATATGCTTCCCTTCCGGAGCGGATTTCTTGCTCCGGAAGCAATCTTTTGCGGCGCAGTTTGGGGATTTGCCTAATGTGGGGCCCAAACTAGTGTGCTATCATAATCTCGTCAACCCCACTCTGGACAGACGCTGCCAATAGGGCTGGAGTGATCTCTTCTCCAAATGTTGGTATTGCAACTTTTATGTCAAAATTTCCATCGTGTGACTTATGCGTATGTCTACCCAAGGTTAAAGCCATAATTTCGCCTTTTGTCAGCCAGATGTTCTTTTGTGCCAATGCTGAGCATCCTTCCTATTTTAGTAATGACTTCGCGAGCTAACAATAGATGAAATTGGAAACCAACTGTGCTTAATTGATAATATTAATTATGAATTTGCGCGGAAATGAAGCTCATCAGATATTTTGAAGAGTTGCTCAGATGATATCGAATATATATTACTAAGTATCCTACTATGAGCAGAGTCACCCACTTCAACTTTTTAGCGGTACCAAGACGTCGAAGAGCTCTAGCGATGTATCGAATTTGAAAAGAATTTCCCGTAATTTGCGTATGAAAGATGCGTCTGTATTAGTGATGGTAGTAGCTAGGTAATGAAAAACTGTTGATGACACATGCAACTAAGATTTGACGTATGCACTTATGAACAGAAACGTGCGAAGGTAAAACCTATACGTTTCATTAGCCATGCTCTTTTTGGCATAATTAATCAGAGAGTTCAACATCAATGATAGGGAAATATACAAGATACACTTTAAAAAAGCTGTGGGGTCTTAGCATTCTTCCTTGTCTTCAGAGGAGATGATATCCAGCGACACATAAGTCATGTCATAGACGAGTCCAATTTTCGATTTTGGGATGTTATATACTGTAATTCGTTTGCAGCCCTAAATTCGATTTTTTGAGATGGTCGGTGTAGTGAGAAATGAAATACTGTAACAAACCGGTTTCACATTGCAAGTGTGTGTGATTCTGAGGAATGGCTCAATGGAACCGAGTTCATCGTGGCCTCCTTTTACAATAAATTTGCCTTTTTTGCCCGTCCTTTTCGAGTCTAGAAGGTCGTTGGGGTCGACTGAAAAGCAAGATATCAAAAAGCTATCTTGTGCACTTACTAAAAAATGGGCAGTGCTTTTGAGTTGAAAGGGGACAAACCACGGAATTTATTTGACAAAGCGGGATAAACAGTATGTATAGAAAGTCTTTTCTTTTTATCAGCTTTCGAAGATGAACAGCCAAAACACTTACAGCTGTCTCTCTCCCACAGTTCCACCAGAACGTCAGGCATTCGCTTTTTGTTACACATAATGGTGCCCTTGACCGTGACATTTTGCATTTCCGCATGGACGGCGACGAGCACAGCGGCCGAAAGCAGCAGGAGCGAATTCATCTGTAACGATGAAAATGAGACAATGTGACAGCCTTTTATGCTGTACACCACCATTTACATAGATAGACCGATAAGACATGAAGAAGTGGAGTGAAAAGTAAATTTGTTTGATCTCCACCACAAAACCGGTTTCCGTTCGCTGAGTCATATGTTTTTTTGTAGTGGTTAGACACATACTTCGGATATTTCAAAAAGAAATACAGATTGAATAATTTTTATTGCTCTGTGGTCTTTTACAAGAAGAGTAAACGATTCACTTGAAGTTTGGAATATTTCCCGAACACAAAAACACGCATCGCTCTAATCACTGTTACAGCCCATCCCTCCAATCCTTCTATTTCTTCGCCTGCATTCTTTTTCATGTGAAACAATAGGTAAGCAACTACTGCTTGGGTAAAAAAAATTAGTCCAAAGCATTTTTTACTGTTATTCAGAAAGCAGAGAAAACTCCGATTTGAGATGTCCCCAACCCTGCCGTAAAGTGAGTGAGGTTGGTGATTTACGCCTTTTAGGATGGCGAGAGAACAGGAGAAGCAGTGTTGTACAATGAAGATTTCATCAAATTTGCCATCATTATCGACTTCGCAGTGTTTCGCCTACAGTCGGTTTCATCCCGGATTAGGCGAGGCCTTCTACGTGGAGCAGCGCATGCGCATCGCTGAAGGCTTCGCGAGCGCACAGCGCTGGCATTTTGCCAAGCAAAGACTTAGGAGATTGAAGAGACGCAGACATGGGTTCTCAGCACGATGGGATATACTGTAGCTGCGAAACGGCGCGAGCTGTTGCGAGGCGGACTCCCGCCAATCCAATTTCCGCCTAGAGCGGGACGAAACTTACTGTAGGTATTGACGCGTGAGAGAAGCTGTGCATCTGGCTAGATACCTGGATATGGTTCCCAACAAAAGTTTCGGAGCTTTTTTTAAGCGATGATGAGATTTTTGCATTGATCGTTTGCAAGCTTCTAGGAAGATGCTGAAAACTAGGCGTTCTCTGATTCGCGACACGTCAGAAAGCGCATTGACATTTTATAAGCTATTTACATTGTTCGGTAGGGACGGCAATTCATATTCAGAAGTTCAGCAAATGAAATCATTTGATGGAAGAATTTACTTTGTTCAAAAAAAAAAACACCGTCAAAGTTTGAAATTTGTGGCCAGTTTTATTTTTGGGCTTCGGAATTTTGCATCTGAACTTGGATGACATCTCAATTAGGAACATGCTATCATACAGAATCCAATTCTTACCACCCTCAATTTAGGTAGACGGTGACTTCGATGAAGGCTGCGTGCAAGTATACTGAATGCAACTCAAAAGCAAATCTTTTATTCAAAACCCTTAGACTACGCTGTTAATCTAACTTCCGTTTCTGTTACTCTTTACCACAATAATATTGAAGAAAAAAGCATCCCGATGTATAAGCCGTAATCTCAACGTCTTGTATGTTGTTCTGATCTGGCCAACCATTTTTTCTTTGAAGTTAATGCAGACATTCCAAAGTTGCTTGATTATCCAAGCCAGCAGTGGCAAGCGTGTCTCTCTTGATAACAAATGAGGTATCGAAATAATGGAAACCTTAAGTGAATTACGGGGCAAAACTTGGAGTTTATCAGAGATTCCGATTTTCATTAACTTGTTCTCCAGACCATGCTTGAGCACTGCCAGATTGAATAATCAGCACATGTTTGCTATGTCTTTTATACTTGAAGGAAACAATGCTGGCCAAAACTATAGGTCCACTCTGAGACCTGCCGTAACTCGTCTATTTTTCAACGAATTGATCTGAAATTCAGTAAATCTCTATGTTTAATAGGCTACTGTCAGTAACCAGAAAGGGTTCCTTTCTTCTTCAATTATTCAGGAAAAAATCAAAAATTTTGAAAAAAGGAGACTTTAGGGCTGGCCAAAACTATAGGTCCACTCAAAGTTTTTATCCATCAAAGTAATTCTTGGCTTTCAAAGTCTTTTATGCATGCACATGTTCAAAGTCAAAACATTTGCTCTAGTCCAGCTATGCAATACCTTCAAAGAAAGGATGTATCCCATTACTTGTGACTGTCATTTACGCAGGCGTCGCGCGCGACACGCTGGCAGTAATCAATCGCGAGGAAAGCTCGGATAGCCGACTCGCAAGGCATGCTTTTACATTTTTTGTAAGGGTTTTTACACTATCACATCAGATTTTACTGTTTGATGGAAGTTTGGCCAGAAATTTTGCAAAAATGAAAGAGATAATGAACGGAAATAGCTCTGGTCGTAGATCGGCTCTGGTCGTAGATCTCTGCGGGGTCTCAACGAAACCCTGCATAATTATATATCACTAGCTGGCTTGCCCGGCTCCGCCGGGCCTGCCAGCTAGACCCGTGTACGTATGTTCCAAATAGAAAATTCCATTTCTGAACCGATCCGGACCAAACTTTGCACACATACACTTCGGGCCCCGGCGGGTGTCACAGTCCACTTTTCGTTATCGATCGATGTCGATTATACCGATTTTTATCGATCTTTTTTGCAGAGTTCACCTACAGGGCTAGGAGTTGGCACAGGGGGGAAGTGAGCATGGGGATTCCGAACACAATATTAGTTTTCAGAATTATCGATTACTTTTATTGATTTTATCGATTTTTTTGTAAATTTTGACCTGCGGGGCTGGGAGTTTGCACAGGGGGGTAATCGAGCATGCTGATTACGAACACAATATTAGTTTTCAGGATCGTCCATTACTTTTATCGATTTTATCGATTTTTTTTGTAAAGTTTGACCTGCGGGGCTGGGAGTTTGCACAGGGGAGTAATCGAGCATGCAGATTACGAATACAATATTAGTTTTCAAGATCGTCCATTACTTTTATCGATTTTATCGATTTTTTGAAAATTTGAGCTAGGGGGCTGGAATTTGGCACAGGGGTGTAATCGAGCATGCTGATCACCCCCCTTGGGGATGATCAGCATGCTCGATTACCCCCCTGCGCCAACTCCCAGCCCCCTAGCTCAAACTTTGCAAAAAAATCGATAAAATCGATAAAAGTAACCGATAATCCCGAAAACCAATATTGTATTCGGAATCCCCATGCTCGACTACCCCCCTGTGCGAACTCTCAGCCCCGTAGCTCAAACTTTGCAAAAAAATCGATAAAATCGATAAAAGTAATCGATAATCCTGAAAACCAATATTGTATTCGGAATCCCCATGCTCGATTACCCCCCTGTGCCAACTCCCACCCCCGTAGCTCAAACTTTGCAAAAAAATCGATAAAATCGATAAAAGTAATCGATAATCCTGAAAACCAATATTGTATTCGGAATCCCCATGCTCGATTACCCCCCTGTGCCAACTCCCAGCCCCGTAGGTGAACTCAGCAAAAAAATCGATAAAAATCGATAAAATCGATATCGATCGATGACGAAAAGTAGCCTATGACACTCGCCGGGGCCCAAAGTGTATGTGTGCCAAGTTTGGTCCCGATCGGTTCAGAAATGGAATTTTCTATTCGGAACATACGTACATACAGACATACAGACAGACATACAGACATACAAACAGACATTCAGCTTTATATATAAGATTCTGATCGCCATAACACGATGAGGAGAACTGACAATGTCCCAAGCTTTAAAAGTCACTCATTAACGAGATAGATTAGCGTTTTCGTGCGCGGCCCTCTGCGCAAGATTTAAGCGCAGTTTTTTGTTTTTATTCAACTCCAATAGCTTTCCTAAACTTCTGAAACTCGATTTTGGTCAAATGAGAGGTTAACTGAAAAATTTTATCTTGAATTCTGGCAAAATTTCCACAGAGACCTTCTTTTTAACGCAAAAAAGCTATGAAAACGCAAATTCTCGGTTTCGCTCAGTAATAGGCACCGTCCACCCAAAATGGAGGTTGGCGAGATTATGATGGCATACTAGTGTGGGCCCCCATACTAGACAAACCCCCAAGCTTCGCCGCAAAAGACTGCTTCTGAAGCGAGAAATCCGCTCCGGAAGTAACAAAAGTGGGCGGGGCGCCCCGGTCGCCCCGCCCACTTGCATGCTTTATCTCCTGCACTTGTTGCAGAGGGTTCTCGAAACAGGGATTTTTGGGGGTCTCGCGAATTTTCGACTCCATATTCGGAATCAGGGCTTTCAGAAGGCCTGAAGGCGACAAAAACATTGAATTCGACTTGGGTGGACCGCCGGGGGCGCCCCGCCCACTTTGTTACTTCCGGAGCGGATTTCTCGCTTCAGAAGCAGTCTTTTGAGGCGAAGCTTGGAGGTTTGTCTAGTATGAGGGCCCACACTACTATGCCATCATAATCTCGCCAACCTCCATTTTGGGTGGACGGTGCCTTTAAGCTAAAGATATTATTTCCTATATTTGCTTCATTAGCATTCGTTCCGATTTTTTTTAGCCTTGCATTATTCCCATACGGAGTCTGCCACTCTTATTAGTCTCCTCCATGTTTCACGGTCTAATGCTTGACGTTCATCTATTCCAAGCTCTCTCAGGTCTGACTTGACTTTATCTGTCCATCGCAACTTAGGTCTCCCTCTTGGTCGTCTGCCGGGAACCTCTACTGACATCGCTAGTCTGGTGATGTGTTCTTTCTCTCGCCTTCTGACATGGCCATACTATCTAAGCCTCCTTTCTTGCACTTTCTTGGTTATTGGGGCCACTTTCATCGCTGTGCGAATGGTATCATTAGTGACGTGGTCGAGCAGCGTGACACCCATCGTCCATCGGAGCATGCGTGTTTCCATCACTCCAAGCCTTCGTTCATCCTTACGTGTGCACGGCCAACACTCGCTTCCATACAGCGCAGTTGAGCGGACGACAGTGCGGTACATTTGAGATTTCAGCTTGAGCGGCATCCTTTTATCGCATAGCACTCCTGTGAGACTTCTCCATTTCAGCCATGCTGCGTTTATACGACTGGTTATTTCGGCTTCGAGCGTGCCGTCTGCCGCGATGCGACATCCTAGGTATCTGAAGGACGTGGTCTTCTTGATTTGCGTGCCTGCAATCTGGATCGTCTCTGGCGTTTGAAGTCCCAGCTTCATGTATTCTGTC